TGTATAAATAATTTGTTATGTAATAAGTGTTTGTGAATAATACTGTTTCTCATGAATCCGGATTTTATAAAGATGAATATCATGAGTCATTAGTTAAAAATATATATAATATAGCTTACTTTCGAGAGAGAATACAAATAGTGAGTATAGGTACCTACGTTGTATACTGTACGATGAATAACAACATAATATTGACATCAACATTTTTAAATAAAAATCAATAAAATTCTTATTTGTACAGAACGTGAACGTCACGATGAATAAATGATTATTATAGTCGATTATTAAACTAATCGAAGCAACACACAAGATAATATGTAATAATTATATTATAAGGTTATATTAGAGTGACGTTAGACGGTTATGTTATTTGTAATACAAAAAATAACAATACGTTTACTCGGGTTTACTACTATAAAGTTGAGATGAATTATTAAAATTAAAAAAAAAAACATTTGAAACGATTCGTAGGTAATTAATTAACATTAAATATTATACTAAACAAACATAACCTCAATGCCTATTAGAAATTATAAAGCTATAATATCATATTAATTATTACATCATATTCTATAGTTATCTGAACATAATATCTCATTGTGAGAGTTAAATACATTGATGATACTATACATAATTACCTATATAATATCATAGTAAGGTAGGTATATTCTTATATAAACGAATAATGATCGCAGTAACGAGCTTTAATTTATGCGTTATACGCTTATGTATACTTAACACAAATTAGTTGATATTATAATGGTTTCAATTTTATTACTCAACTCTTAATTAACGCCGTTTTAAAAATATCCAGAACATTATTTTATCACAACGTTAAATATTAATATCGCGTGATGATAAGATACAATGCGTCTCTGAAATGCTTTATTGTTTTTTGGCTACACGAGTTTCGAATAATGTTTAAACATATCTTTAAAATAACGTAAACAAAAAAAGTAAATGCTGCTTAATATGCATACGCGCTTTTAATCTGCAGRCTTTTAACGTTACGTTTTTGCTTATTAAACAATATAACTAATAACAATACGTATTACGTATGATTGTACGACGATAAAATATAAGGTGACAATTAAATTACACTAAACGAATTCATCAACATTATGCATAATAATAAGACTCGTATCTCTAATCCGCGAATAACGGTTCACCAATAAAATATTTTCTTTAATATTATTATTCATCTAACATTGACAAAAGGCGAAGGAATTCATAAATTATCATTATGTCTGTAGAATAATACATTTTTTGTTTTTATTTTTTTTTTTTTTTTGGCTTAACGCTGGGTTGGACTGTATTTTTTTTATTTGATTTTGCGGCGTCTTATTAATTCGATTTCGTTCAGCCGAGCTCACGGTCGTTTAACTTCACGACGGCAAACAAAGCATATTGTCACCCTGCGTGTGCGCCGCCACCACCGTCGGCGCTAACGCTGTCGTCATCGTTTTGATACCGAATTATTCTAATGCGAAATAAACGAAAAAATAAACAAATCGCATAATAATTGGTCACGGAGGCGTCGTCGTGTATTACGGGTCATTTACCGTAATATTATTATGATTATATTATAGACATAGATAAGAGATTAGATAACAGGGTGGCGTCACGAAATGAGGAGACGGCAAGACGCGTACGCGTAATTCCGTGTATATCAAAAAGAAGATTTTCTAAAAAATCCAAAGCTCTATTTGGTTCTAGTCCATGAATTTATTTTTTATTTATTTTGTATAAAATTTGAAAATTTTTATACAGCTAATTTGATCCTGCCTGGACAACTTTAACAATGAATACAAACTGCAAGTCATTTTTTGTGCAACATTTATTACTAAAATTATTATTACTATTAATTATATAATAATGATGGGAAAAAAAAATAAAAACATTTGTAATTTAATATTAACTATAATGTTAGTACATTGAGTTCTTAAGGCGAAAAAAAAATCACTTAAAATAAAGTTTTTTTACACGCAACTATTGTATTGTTATTGAGAAACAAATGAATAATAATACTCACCGCGGGACGTTTAATGTACAAATAGTAAGTTATGTAACAACTAATAAAACGCTTTGGCGACGAGATTTTTGGATAATACCTCTTATTATTATATACAAGGCACTCGTAACCTAAATGATATCTGAACGCGTTAAAACTATATGGAAAAAATACAACAACAACGATAAAAACAAATAAATACAAATTTTTAGGGACAATAATAAAAAATTATTCTATATAACACATATTGAGACTTGCACGCCACACTGCCCACACTGTACGCTGGCAGCGGTGTACAATTATTTAAGAGTTACTGAGTAAACGTAACATTTCGTGAACGGTTAATGACTTCGAAAATAACGTGATGCCATATATGATTAGCTATGGTTTATTAGCGATTAGTATAAAAAGTAAACAAGTAATATTTTTTTTTTTTGTGGGTGTTGAAATACCTGCTTATATACAACGATATCGTTAAAGTTTTATAATTATAATAATTAATTAAAAATTAAATTTTTTTATCAAACCAAAACTTTGATTTGAACTGCTGGAAACTATAATATTGGCAATTGAATAATAATTACCTGCTGTTTTTAGTTTTTATGTCAACTCCACTCGGCACTCCGTTGTAATCTAATATTCAGATACGAATCTATGATAATTATGTTATACTAGCGTTGATAAAATCACCTCGTTTCTAAGAGGTTTAGAAGTTTTGATAGTCACCATTCAATAAAAATGAATATTAATTTAAGTCCCGTTCGGGTCTTTATTTTATCGTAAGTATTCGTGGACAAAATTAAAAATATTAAACAATAGATGTGTTTTATTAATATTTCATAATAACGTATTTGTATTTATCAAAATTATTTGAGGTGACAATTTAATATTTATACAATAATTATTTGTTCAATTCATCATATGCCTAAATTAGAGAAGTACCATCAGCCTTGTAGGTCTCCTCAGCACGACTGTCTGTATTTATATTTCGAACCCTTTTAATACTTTACCACTCTCACTAAAAAAAAAAAAAAAAAACAATTTATACGGGCTTTTAATTAATTTTACACCTCTATAGTTCCAGTTGACAGTAACTTCCAGTAATGTTAATCGATCATAATATTACACGCCCAGGTTCTGATGATAAAATTACGTTGATATAAATTTAGGGTCAATATATTGACCTATAGGTGAGGACTTGGTATAGGAAAACGGTGTCTCTACTACAATATCTGATAAGTATGGCGTACATTTATTTCGTTTTTAATCTCGGACTACTGCAGATGTGTATCGTTTTTTACARCTGCACTAGCATGTTGAACTTTTAAAACATATTATTTTCATTGATGATAGATATTACAGTATTACGCTTTATCATTATAGCCAGTATCCGGTGATGGTGCTTTTTTTCGGTAAACGTTACAGCTCGTTAAACTATTACAGAAGTAAGTTGTACTAATGAGCRACGAGCGGAAAAATATTAAAGAACTGCTGCCCAATTTCAAGTTAATAATAATCTAATAATGAACCGAATTATAAGTATTTTAAAGGGCGACGGTAAATATACAGTTTAACACTTTAAAATAATCTTAGGAGTTACTTAATATTGTTCCACAAAATTATTTTCATGGTATAAGTAACGGATATCGTCTAATATTTATTGTTTTATATTGAAATACAAAAATCTTACAAAAGTACTATATTTTGCTAAATACGAGTACTTACCTATTATGTTTTATCTCTTATACATAACTACAGAACTACTTTGGTTGTAATAATAGTGTTAATCGGATTTTCAGAATTTTTTATCATAATTTAACTTAATAATATAGGTAGAGGTACAACATTCTTATGTATAGTGGCATAYTATAATAACATATTACGCATATTATCGTACAATATAAATATAATACCTATATGGTATTTACTGGCTCGTATTAACAAATTACTACACAAAGTTTGTATACATTTCCAAAAACCAATGTTTACGTGAATGTAGGAAAAATACTATGAATACCCATAATATGTTAAGTGAAATCGAAAATAAAAAATGAATCATCTCCAGTTTCCATAAAACGTTACTTTAACGTAATGCACCAGCATTGACAACCGTTAATAATATTATTCAAATTTCTGTGTACTTTCACATTTTATGCATCTAATTTTAGATATCGAATGGAAAAAAACAAACTAATTAGGTACGTGAAATGTTAAACGGTCATATTTTTGTAGTTATACGTACCCAATATTTTATAGATCAATTATGTAGAATATAAACTATATATTATTATAAAATAAATATTTATTCTATAAATTATAATTACAGTAAATCGTTTATTTAAATAAATAAAATCTTCAGCAGTATACACTTATATACATGGCATAATAATAATGTTTATGTTATTTATCATTAAATGTAGGTACATACATAGGTAAATAATAATATGATAATATATTGTATTTTATAACAAAATATATTAAAATCAATTTTTATGGTGATGATTAAGTACCTACCTACTGCTAACATTTTACCCTAAATATCACACATAATAAAACAAAGTTTCTCCAAAGGTATCATATTTTATATTAAATATAAAATATTTTGAAATATATCGGTTCTCGTCTGAAATATCAATAACAAAATAACTTGTCAATAGCACAATGATCGTTCGAAAGTTCACAAACGTAGTCGATCGTGAAACCAAAGCTGTAGAATGACACAAATACACAATGCACACGATCATAATAAATATTATTATGCTTATGCCTCACACAAAGCAGCACAAAAGATACTTCTATTCGTTTAATTAATTCATCTAATCATCTTCGTGGTTTATTAAATAATAATAATAATAATAATAATAATAATAGAAAGTACAGCGACTAGTTATACAATTATTAATTGTTTAAATATTGACTGAAGGTACAACAATTATATATTTATTTTAAATTTAAACCGTACCTAGTCATCTAAAGTAACATAATTTATTATTTCACTCTTTGGGTGGTTAATTTATAACTACGCTGTATAAATAAATTCATCGAATGCAATAGGAGCCATCATACACTTGTCTGCCCGGTTTTTTAAAATCATATTTAAATCTTTAAAATAGTTATTAGCCGGGTGTGTGCTGCCAATACATTTCTATCCCCCCGCCCACMGCGAAAAACTGTCCCTAGTTGCGCCTTTGACTATAGCCGAATATCAGTATTACAAGCATTAAGATTACRGTGGAAAGATCTAGCGAAACTATTGGAAACGTATAAGATATTAACAAAAAATAAATAAATTATAAAACTACCAGTTAAGTGTGTATCATTATTTTATTTGAACGACCTGCAATCGTATTCGATGTAGCACAAGTATAACGAATTTAATTTAATATTTATGATTGGTTGGACKGACGGYTTGGCGGGTAAGGKAGAGTATAACGTCGTGGATCAACACTCGAGGTCTAAATACGATACCAATGACCTGGGCAAGGGTAACTGCAGTATCCCGTGCGGTAGACTGAAGTTTTGGTGCAATGCTTTGCGTACGGCGCACCTGGCCAGGTGCAGCAATGTCGGCGGCACCGGTACGACTTTGACGCCACTGCCCCCTGCACCGGCGCCATCGCATCCGCCACAATCGTCGCGACTGCCGCACCCGCCGCCACTGCCATCCATGTCACCAGTGACACCACCAAACCCTGCACCGCCCTCGTAAGCGACAGCTCTTAGCAGCAGTTCCAGGCACGACTGGTCGCGATCGGCGAACGGTGGGCCGCGTGGCTCTTGATCTGCGCAACGGCGGCGCAAGTAAGCGATGGCCGCGCGCACCGACCGCTCGTCCGGGCCGTACCGCAACAGCATGGCCACGGCGGCCAGGTCTCCCGTGGCCACGGCCACCATTACGGGCGCCGCCCGGTACGACCGCATCCAGACGTCTTGCATTCGGCGGCCGTCGAGTAGGAGTCGCGCGCGCGTCGCCCGGTCCAGATAGAATGCCAGCGCCATCCGGTTATCGGCAACGGTCGCCCCGAAGTCCGTCCACCGGCCGCTGATCATGCGCGCCACTTTGCTGCCAACCACGGCGCCCTCGAAAAGCTTTTCCAACGTTTTCTCGCACCTGCACAAAATATACATTAAATAACAGCGATAATAATRTTGTTTTTTTGCCGTAACGGTAGTCGTATGTTAAATATATTATAAGTGCATAATAATATAATGATATTCGCAAAACTGCACGAGTAGATCGGATTTATACGGAAACGCATATAATATTTGACTTGAAACCACTCTGGTTAGAAATCTTAACATATACGTTTCATGATGGGTTGAATATTCTTGTATTTATTAAAAAATATTATCGCATTAGCATATTATATTCTCATGCCAATATCCGTCGCTGCATTTTTTTT